GCTGTCAGAATCACGGAGGCCGTAATTGACATAAACGAGTGGTACTGGTCCAATATCCGGGACTATGTTAAATTCATTGTTAAAAATTATCCCGTCTGCGCAGCGGATAAGGCGTCGATTCAGCCGCCTAGGTTGATAGTGCCCACTGTAGTCGAACGGCCATTCCAAAGGGTTAACATGGATACGACATACATTATTGTGCCCCCTGGACCGAATAGCTGCGAGTATTCAATTCTTTTGGTATTCGTGGATCATTTCTCAAAATGGATTGAGGCCTACCCATGCAAAACGCGACAGACGGCGGAAATCCTGCGGTATGTCAACCGTTTCCTCGGAATGCATCAGGATACCGAGGAAATTTTAACGGACAACAGGGCAGAAATCTGAGGAGAAGTTTTGAGGAGCCTAGTCATACATGGCGTCTCCATCCGTAATACGGCCCCCCATATGTCGCAATCGAATGGACTGATAGAAAACGCAAATAGGTTAATCAAGACGGCCTTGTGGCGAAATATTGCGGCCAGAGACACAAGGCCTTGGCCCGATATCGTAGACCATATCCTGGCTATCCAGCGGGGAACCCCTCCTGAGTCCACCGACCTGACCCCTTTTCAGCTACGGACTAATAGTTTGGCCTGTGTGGCTCTATCGAGCCTGAACGGCGAAACGACCCTAGCATGAAGAACCATGAGGGTCACGGTCAAGGACAAGTCCCAACGCCATTTAGAGTTGATGGAAAAAACCCTCCCTCTTTTGGCCCGAAAAAGACAGCGAATGACCGAAATGTCCCACGGACGACAGGTCCGGAGCTACGAGGCACGAAATGGGAATGTTGGGCCTCGGCCCCAATATAAATTAGGGGACATAGTGCAGATGAGGAAATGTGCTCGCCAGGGCAAGTTAGCGCCACGATTCTTCGGACGATTTTACGTAGTTGAGCTTGGTCCTAGCGGGGTGAATACGGTGCAGCTTGCGCCAGAAGTCTCGGGAAGTCGATCGGCTCGACCGATCATTCGACACGTGTCCTACCTTCGTCCCTTGCCTCCTCCTCCGTCTCGCCCCTCGTCCACATCTTCCTTCGATTCCGAAGAGGAAGGCGACGACCTCGAACTCGAATATTCTGATTCTCCTTCTTTTCCGCCTTCATCTCCACCTTCTCTCCCATCGCCACGAGTGTTTCTACTAAGCAAGTCATGAACGAACGACGAATGAAACCCGGGGGGTCTATTTCGTCGATTCGGCAGGTGCAGCGGTCATAATTAAGTCCAGATCTGCTTCGATTCGCGACTTTCTTCAACATGACGGCTGTCCATGCGGCGGTATGATTTCGGTTCGCACGAACCAGCGAGCAGGCGAGAGTGTTGGTGGAGGCGTCGGCCTTTCTGCGGCTGTCTCCACCAGGCGTCAGCCACGTGACAGTGGTTGTTGCCTTCACCGGCGACCTTACGGCCTTACACCCGGCGCCTCATAAAGGCATCTTTTGACAGCTGCAATTCTGGGCACCGGATCTTACGGCCGCCTGGGTCCAGTTGTTAGCACTACTTGGCGATCAGATCAACTCCACGAACGATATTGATCTCAGCCAACTCCGGATCTCTCCTGACGCGCCAGAGATCGTCCTCCTGCAACTTCTTCCTTTCACGCTGCCTCAATGAACCGGCACCGCCTTTCGACCTTCGAGCTTCCTTCCGATCTCCCCACCTTCTGGTACTCCGCCACAGCCACTTCCCTCTCCTTTTGAATCAGACGGGTGGACGTGCCAATCTTGGACGCGAGTAAGTGGACGGAGTGGTGGCACACGTACGTCGCACTCAACTTTTGCCTTCTCGAGCTGGTGTTTCATTGGGCCGAGCCGGCGGATAAAGAGGAGGAAGACGTAGTTCCCAATGATGAGGTTGAGTTGTTGATCGTCCAAGCTTGGAGGACAGACACGGAGGGAGAACTGTTGGGGATACTCTTCTGGAAGGTGCGGGACGGACATCTCGAGTCAATTACGAGCGAAGTTCTGGTGCTCTTGGCCCAACTCCTAGACGATCTGCCTCTGGAGATCCTTTCACGCTGTGACGAGCGACCCACACCAGTTGTGCTCCCTCGTACATTGGCACCACAACTACTGTGGTCCACGTGCACGGAGCTCAACAGCGATAACATCTACCTCCCGTCTTCGGGCGACTATTTGGTCATTTGATGTGACCGATATCACTCTATGGGATCCGATCATCCGAAGAACGGAGGTGGGGGAAGAAGAGGAGGTAGATGAAGAGGAGGTAGATGAAGAGGAGGAGAGGGAAAACGTGAACGAAGAGGAGGAATCGGAGGTCAGTTCAGATGACCCAGATTATCACAAATCTGAGGAGGACGGACCGGAGGAAAGTGGGTCGGACGAATCAGGCAGCTCTGGCGAACGGAACAAGGAGGAAGACGAGGCAGTGACTCAAAGGCAACGGGAGAGGGCAGAAGGGAAGCGCCCAGTGCAGGAGTTGGACGGGCGGCCGCTACAAGACGATCCGGTGCGCAACCCAGAGCCACCGTGAGAGGAGTCCGGAGGAGATGGCATCGCCACCACGGAGGGATCTAGAAGTAGACGCCGCAGAACAAGTCCAACGCCGGCTCAATCCCCTCCACCACAGGGGCCCACCGTTCACCTACGTGGAGATGCGGGCACTCGGTCTTCGTTCCCGGTCATTATCCCGTCGTACCCTTGATTTCCTCGCCATCCATCAGATCCCAGGTCGATCCCCGTTTCTCTCCGACTGGCATCCTTTCCTCCCTTCCCTCTTCCACCAACTCTATTCTACATGTCTCGGTGTCACCGTCTTTCCGCACGCCTCCACTCGCTCCATCATAACCACTTTCCCCCTCCACGTCCTCCTCTTCTGCGCGGCATGGTGAGATTATAACAATACAGAAATATATCATATCATCTCGGGCGTAATCCCCGTGTGCAAAGGTTACGAGAACCTTCACACCACGATCCCCCGCACCTTGTGCACCCTCTATCCCGATTACCTCGCCTCCCTCCCTCACCAGGATCATCGCTTCCCCTGCATACATTGCACCGTCCATTACACTTGACTCCCCACTGAGGATCGAGAACGAAACCGCTTTCTGCCACCCCTCCCTCAAGCTCACCCTCCTCCGCCTCCTCCCGTCATCAGGCTACCTTTCCCCGACAACCTTTAGATCGGAGTCGTGAATGCCACCTGCATGACTTCCACACTCTCATCTTACGGTAAGTGGCACGTGTCAAACTCCGCGTCCATCGTCGGAGATCAACGGATGATTGAAGGAGCAAGCAGGAGCTTGCTGAAGACTGGAACCCCCTGAGCGTCAAATATGTAACGAACTACTTTCTGCAACCGCTCGATCTTCTACACAAGGCTATGTCAGGGGTTGAAATGGGTTGAGTCAGGATGGCCGGGTGAATTGCATCAGTGTTTTTGCTTTGCTTGCCTTTCTCTGTGGAATTGAGGTTGGGTTGTCTTGCGACGGTTGGTAGTTGATCGTGTCTTAGCGAGCGCGAAAGATAATTGTTGACATAGCTTCTTTCTTGTTCTGCTGTGGGCAATGAAATTCTGGCGCGATCGTCGCGCGGGAGAATCTTTTTGAATTTTTAACTGTTGTCGAGCCCCCGGGGGCTCTCGGAAATTGCTTTGTTTGAAATTCCTTTTTGCAACTAGGTGCGCCCAATATACCAGGCTCCCTTGTTCCCTTGCATGGTCGAAATTCCTTTTTGAAATTCCTATGACCGGGCTCGAGTTAGGCCCTCGACCTTCGCCGACCCTCACGCCCTAGTTAGGCAGCACTTGCAGCACGCTCGCATGTTGGTGCGTGCCTATGGAGGGTCGACCATCAGTCTGAGGATGGTAAGACGAGGAGAAGCGGAGCTGAGTGCCGTACACCTCGTGGAGCCGTCGCCAGAATCGGCTGGTAAAGCGCGGGTCACGGTCAGATATGATGCTCAGAGGTAAGCCGTGGTCACACACGGCTCGGTCAAATACGATGTCGGCGACCTCACGTGCACTGATGGCATAGCGGCACGGAACAAAGCGTGCACGCTTCGTGAAGCGGTCGACGACGACCAGGATAGCATCATGACCGCGAGGGGTCGGAGGACGAAGAGGACCGATAAAGTCCATCGAGATGGATTGCCAACGACCCTCAGAGATAGGAAGAGGCTGGAGCAAACCATAAGGCAGGTGGTTCGCACTGTTCACCTCCTGACAGGTGGGACACTCTGCGACGTAGTCCTTCACAAAGTCTTTGCACTTCGGCCAGACGTACAGGCGGCTCACACGAGCCAACGTCTTGTGGAAGCCCATATGACCGGCAGCTGCCTGGTCATGGAACTCTGCTACTGCTCGGACACGTAGTTGTCCAGTGGAGGGAACACAAATACGGGGCTCTCTGGTGCCCTGTGAACCGTGCCCGTACACAAGACCGTTGTCCCCGGGAGAGTAGTTCGGGACGGTCTTGCCACTCCGAAGGGTCGCGTGGATGTCGCGATAGTCGGGGCAGTGGCGGTACTGAGTGCGAAACTCGTCGGTCACCGAGTGGTGGACGGTGGTGACCGAGATGGAAGAGAGCTGGATGTGCTCCTGGTCATGGTCAGGGCGCCGGGAGAGGGCATCTGCGACCCGATTAGTCTCACCCTTGATGTGCTCAGTGGTGAAACTAAACTCGGATAGGTCGCGCCACCAGCGAGCCTGTCGAGGAGTGAGCTTCGGCTTTGTCAGAAAAGCCTGGACAATAGAGTTGTCTGTGCGTACCGTGAATGGTGCCCCGTGCAGGTAGTGACGCCAGTGCCGAGCGGCATAAACTACTGCGAGAACCTCACGTTCATCTCGGCGGGCAGGAGTTGACGGGAGTAGAAGGCTATCGGACAATCACCTGAGCGAGTCTCGACAGTGCCGTCCTCGACGATGGTAGGAGAATAGTCAATAGAAGGTTCGTCAGAAGCTGGACGAGAAGGCGTCAGTCGGAAAGCAGTGGTAGGGGTAGGTGGTGGGAAGCGAGGGATACGAGGATGAGAGGAATCAAGAGAGGAGGGGAAGACCTGAGAAAGCACTGCTCCTACAACAAGTCTGACGCATCGGTGGTAAGGATAAACGGGCGATCAAAATCGGGTAGGTGAAGAACCGGTGCACATGTCACCGCCTTCTTGAGGGCGCGGAAGGCGTGCTCGTGGAAGGGTGTCCAAGCCCACGGTGGGTTCTTCCGGAGGAGGGTGGAGGTAAGGACGTAGGAATACTTAGCGTATCCCCGGATAGAGTTGCTATAGTAGCTGGTCAGGCCTAGGAAGCTGCGAAGCTGTTTGGCGGATGTGGAAGCAGGCCACTCCGCAATAGCAGTGATCTTCGCGTCGTCCATGTGGAGACCCTCGTCAGACACGTAATGTCTTAAGAAGTCCACTTTGTGCTGGGCAAAGCGGCACTTGCTGAGCTTGGCGTAGAAGCCATGTCTGCGCAAGCGATCAAGGACGTCGCGAACGTGTCTGAGGTGCTCCTCAAGGGTACGACTGTAGACCACGATATCGTAGAGGTAAACGAGAACGTATTGCTCCAGGATGTCCCTGAAGATGTCGTTCATCACCCTCTGAAAGGTGGCGGGTGCGTTGGTGAGGCCGAATGGCATCACCGTAAACTCGTAGTGGCCGAAGCGCGATCGAAACGCGGTCTTCGGCTGGTCGGCTGCAGCGACGCGGATCGGATGGTAACCGCTACGAAGATCAATCTTCGTAAAGAAGCGGCTGCCTGCTAGGCGGTCGAACAGCTCATCGGAGCGAGGCATGGGGTAGTTGTTCTTAACCGTGTAGCGGTTGAGACCACGATAGTCGATGCAGAGACGGAGAGTTTCATCCGCTTTGCGACCAAAGAGGACGGGTGCACCCCACGGGGAGTTGCTGGGTTTAATGAAACCCAGTCTCAGGAGCTCCTCAAGTTGACGCTTGAGTTCGGTGGCATCGGGAATCGAGAGTCTATAGGGTGCCTGATGGTGAACACGATAGTCAGGCACAAGCTGAATGGAGTGCTCGACATCATGCATCGGTGGGATGCCGGCGTACGAGAACGACGATGGGAAAACGTTGTGGTACTCTCGGATGATGTCACGAACTGTGGGCTCCAGGTAAGCCGTATATCGTGCGAGTTCCTCAGCGTCAGGGTCAGCGCCCGACGGCGGGGTGGACTCGACGGACGGTGGAGGGACGGAAGTAGAGATGGGAGCCATGGAGATAGAGGGAGGATCTGGCTCCAGAGGGATGAGCTCGGCGTCGGGACAGGGTGGATTATATTTTAAGAGATCCGTCACGTCCACCATAAAGAAGGTGACGTCGTCCTGTCGAATGAAGTGAGCGAACTGCCGAGGCGAGGTGACAGTGATAGAGGGGGGTGGTGTGGGCACTGAAGGCTCCGGGGGAGGAGGATCGGGGCGTGGTATCGCCGTGGTACCTATGAAAGGTATGTGATACGTCTGTCCACACTTCGTTTTGAGAACGAGAGTATTAGTCGCCCAATCGGCCTCGATGCTGCGGAACCGACGAGACCACGGAGTGCCGAGAATGTGCAGAGGAGCGGTGGTGACGAGACGCTGGGGAACGATCAATCGGCTCGAGAGTGAGGAAGAAGGGGAGGTCGGTGACCGTCTGATCAAAGAAGCGCTGGGTCTTGTCATCCCTTAGGGTAACGGAGATGGGAGTCGGAGACCCTGTCGTGGGTAAGCGGGCTTCCTTCACCACGCGTGGGTGAATGAAATCGCCCTGAGAACCGGAATCCCACAGCGCTGAGTACACCCTCGTGGAGGTCCCGAGTGGTACTGGGATTTTAGGGAGGGTGCGATCAGGGTCAGAGAGGATGGCGAGAAGGCGACACAGTGCAGCGACATGGAGGGTGAGTCGCTCCTGACGAGCCTGGAGCATGTTCAAGTCCAGAAGAGAGGACACATCGTCCTCGCGAGTAGCAAGCTGCTCGCTGCAACGGGCTGAGCGAATGGCTCGATGCGTCGGTAGTCGTGGCGGGGAAGGAGGGGAGACGGTGGTCTGCGGAG